GTTTAAGATTCACTTCTTGCTCTTTGTACCACTCCTCTTAGTTTCATCCCTTCTGCCCTTTTTGTTATACTTGTCTTTTTCACCTCTGTCTTCTCTAATTTGCTGTGTTTCCTCATCTCTAGGATTTCCTTTTCACTGAATCATAGAAAAATAGGACTGGAAAGGACCTGAAGAGGTCATGTAGTCCATCACTCCCCCTAGGCAGGATCAGCTGTCCCTGTATCATTCTTGACAGATGTTTGTCTAGCTTGTTCTTAAAAATCTTCAGTGATGTAAGCTCCCTGACATCCCTAGGCAACCTAGGCCCCTCTCCTTGGCATTCAAAAGGTCTTCCTGATGCCTGACCCTAGCTTCCCTTATCACAATTTAAGCTCATTATTTTCTTCTCCTTTCCATTAAGTCCATATTTTGCCCTTGCTGCTTGTCCAGACTCTCTGTGAAACCAAGTAGCAGCTCTGTTATGGTACAGGGCAATGTTCTGTCAAAAGTTTTCTGGATTTCCACTTAGTTTCTTTCTCTTTCCTTATTTTATGCTACATACCTTATTACTCTATCACATATATGCAACTGTCTGGATGCAGAGAAAGACATCCCTGATCTCGTAGGGCCTTTAACACAGAACTCCAGTCAACCATCCCAGGCATAGGAATACCCTACATACATAATTTAAGAACAAAATTCAGTCTTACAGACCTAATTAATTCTTTACCTCTGCATTTGTCAGTCAACACTACCTTCATTGTTGACAGCAACATGTAAAGTTCATGTAAAAGAAATACAAATAAGGCCCTTTGCAATTTTCAGTTTATTCTTATGAAGTATTATGATGCACTTTTCGCTTCTTGTATTCACTTCATCCCTGTAGCTGTAGTGTGCTTACACATATTCCTGCCAGATACTGATCACTGCTGCATACAGTCATCATTCTGGCATGTCTACTATATCCACCTACACAGAATGGCACTTTACAGCAACTGTTTCTGTAATTTCTGTGCCTCCTTCTGTCTTTGGATGGAAAATGCACAACAATCATAAATATAATTTGTATCATATATGCGTGTCCAAAATTGGGAAAAGTCAGCTATTGCAAGTTCAAATTGATTCTTTCATCTAGAATCTAATTCATAATCTAATCGTTGCTTCTTCTTAAGGCTATTTCTGGAGTGGAAATTATAGTGGATGAAAAGAGAGAGTATTTTAATGCAATTTCATGCCATAGATAACTATCATTGTTTTTTAAGCAGGACATTTACAGCTTAACCATCATGTCTGTAAAGCAGAGGGTGTGCTGGAAATTATGTAGGGAGTTAAAGATAGAATCCTCCCTAAGTCTTTGGTCAGGTCTTAAGGTGACTCTTTAGCTTCTTCAACTCCATTGCTCGCTTCTCCCTCACAAGCAGTGAGTTAGAAACCAGCCTGTAAATATCCCTTACATGTTGCTGTTACACTTTAGGTTACTGTGAATCCAAACTTCACTAGCCATATTCCTTCATGCCCACCTAAATTTTGAGGATTTCTTGTATTTGTTTCTGGACCTTCAACAAGAAATTTGACAAGCTTCTAAAAAGTATGTTCATAGTACAAAACACGTGCAGAGACTCAGACACTTCTTAGACTCCACCATTATATTGTGTGTGTGCTGCATAGTGACTCTGAGTGTGTGCATGCCTTGCATGCAGAGCTGAAAAATGCAGAGTGCCCTCTCATCCTAGAACCTCCAGGAGGCTTCAGTTTTATTGGGCATGTGCTCAGTACTTGAACTGTTCCGTGACTGTATGTTGTAACATAGCTGGAAAATGTTGGATTTGCTATCTCCCTGAGTAATACTGATGGGAAATGGTGTAGAATCATTAAAAAAATATGGGTGGAAGGTCAAGGCTCAGGAGATTATCCAGTCCAACCTGTTATTCTCAGGTAGAGTAACTATTCCAGTTTTAGCTAATTTGGCCCTAACCACTGTCATAGAAACCCACAGATTGCACCAGTAATCAATGCCAGTATTCCACTGCCACGTTAGATAGCTTTTCCCAACATCTAATTTGAACCCTCCAGATAACTAGGCCTCATTCTCTCCATTATAAAATGTAAGACAGTATAATTTTCTCCTCTTTCCATTAGCTACGCCTGTATTCAAAGCAGGCATCACATCCCACTTGGTCTTCCCTCCTCTTGAATAAGCATGACCAGTTCATTACAGGTGTCTTCATAAGCCTCAGTTAACTACCAGGCCTTCAGCCATTCTAATTATTTAACTCTAGTTGGCCCAGATTTTAAGGAAGTCTAGCACCTAGCTGTGGACATGGCATCCCCCTCTGCAGAGGTCTTTCCAGGCTCAGCAGAAAAGAAGATGCACTTCACATGCACTGCAGTCATCACTCCCACTCACATGGGAACTTCCTTTACTTCACTTTTGCAACACCACAGGTTTGCAGCCAGCACATTCAAAGCACAGAACCATTTTGATTCCTAATCCTGTAATCCAGCCTGTCAAAATTTCCTCCCAGCATGCCATCAGCACGTAAATTTAGTAAAGATATTCTCTGCTCCATCATCCAGGTCATTAAGAAAATATTGAGTAGTGCAAAGTGAGGACAGACTTCTGTGAAACACCATGATGCACACTTCTGTTTTCACAGATACCTCATCCTCAATTTTACTTTCCAAATACTTTGGCATTCCTTCTGCAGCAATTTCACCTAAACTATGCTTCCTTAGGTTATAAAGAATCTCACATGAGGGAGTGTCGAGACACTTGTAAAGTCAAACCACCTACTGCTTTTTCCCTGTCCACAAGGCCAATTACCCTGTCTTAGAGGGAGATCAGATTGGTTTGACACAGTTTGTTTCTAACAATCCATGTTGTCTGTCACTACCTTGTTTTCTTGCAGGTGCTTACAAATTGTTTGATTATTTTCTTCAGTACTTTTCCACGGTTGAAGTTCAGTTGACTGGACTGTAATTTTGCAGATCTTTCTCTTTAAAGATAGCTGCTGAATTTGTTCCTCCATCCTCAAAGATGGGAACTAACATTTCGTAGACTGTTCCACAGAGTGTGAAAGCATCTAACTCATCTAAATACAGTATTTATCTTCCCTTGCCTGGGCTGAAATCTTTAGTTTTGCCAGAAATTCCCTCAAACAACAGACCCAGACCCCAAACACCTGCCTGTTTCTGAAAGCTGTAGTCTGGATGTGATGTGGATATAATGCATGGGCAGGCAATCCATTTCTGTAGTGTTCAGAAGAGGCCAACCCTTATAGTGGGGTGTTTCCCTAAGAGAAGATATTCTAAAAGTAGACATTCTGAGTCGGGAATTCTCTGTAGATAAAGTCTAGCTGTTAGAGAATTTTTTAAAAGATGCTTATTCCTTGCATGAGTCTAAAATCTGGAAGCCTTTTAATCAGTTTCTCAACTGCTATCCCCTTGATAAAGTGCCAGTTATATTTTTTAAAATGTACTTGATTTTAAAAAATCCTAGATATAAAAAAATGCTTTTTTAAATTAATCCACAAGGAATTCAGAATACAGAATAAATCTGACCAGATAAATAATTATCATTATTATTAAAGATTAAATCAAAGCTTCTTCCTTCATTTCGGTTATATCATTCCATGTAGAAGGTAGAAAAAGAAGTTGAATGTTTTTCCATTCTTAACAGACTCCAATATTGTCATTAAAATAGTTCATATACATTCCACTGAAAGTGTCATCTTGAATGTGAACAGATACCTTTGTCTACAGTTTTATACAGTTTGTTGTCTACTTAGCATCAGACACTTCTATGTGTGCTGAGAAGATAGTACACATAATTTGAGTGTTACTAACGAATGTAGCTCCTTTTTTAAAGTCATTTTTTCAGTTAGATATCAAAAGAGAAAACCTCATACTCCTTAGCATTCAAAAAATAGATTTTAATTACTGACTTCATGCAAGGCCAACAGGCCTTTATCTTTTTCCTTGTAGAAAATGCAGATAACGGCTGCAGTGAAGCCTTTTTAGAATATTTTTCGATCTTTTTTGATCAATATCAAGGATCAACATAAAATAAAGGTATAATAAGCAGCAGTCACCAGAGTGTGTCAGACCTCTATTACTGTATTCTTATGCTCTGAAAAGACTGTACTGGACTACTAGAATCCTGTTCAAAACTGTAAAGTCCATTGTGTGCCTTCATTCTGTAAAGAGACTGCCCTTTGAATTTTCTGATAATATGTGAAAATCAGTACCAGAGAATGTTCCTAGATTTCAAGCCCACATGAAAGCATACTTTTGGCAGAATGGATTGATGGTTCTTTCTATTCCCCTAGTAAACAAACAAAAATTATACTCTTGTAATAATTGTTGAAAAAAAATTTAGAAAGTCAATTCGTTTATCATTTGCATCTACCATGCTCACTAGACATTTTACTGGATACAGTCTTGATGTGAATGGGCCCAGAAGTTTTGATGTGTGTCTTAGTTAAAGACAACTTATCCGTTTCCATGATTTTCGTTTGTATGCCAGGTCTGATGTCATAAAACAAATCATTGATTCCTGTAGGAAAGGGATTTTGGCTCAATTTATGTCGTCTTCCCCATTCCACTCTTCTTGACCCTGGTCCTGCAGTATGAAAGGACCTCTGTGAAACAATCCTGATTTCTATGAGAATCCATGTAGGGAATAAAAGTCTGGTTTCATGAGTCAGAAAACAGGTAAGGATATGTATTTATTAAATCAGAATCCTGCTTTAAAGTTCATAGGTCTCTTATCTCTCATTTCAAAAAAAGTATTTACCTTCTAATTAGATTAAGAATCCAGATACACAGAGTAAAACTAGAAAGACAATATGTGAAACAGCTCAGACTGCTCCTGCTCTAACACTGTCACCTGAACAAAGCCCATGGTGTTTAATGGTCCTATGTGATTTGTTCCCCACAAGTAGATGGGTGAGATGGTGCATTGCAAGTTTCCTGTTACTGCTTCACTTTCTAAATACATATTTTTACATTTTAACATATAGCTCCATCAGCCCTCCCAGACGCAAGTGGGACAAGCAGCCTCACAATCCAATCTCCTGCATTTGGCTCACAGTCAAGCATCTATGTCTCAAAGCCCAGTGCGTCAGGCTTCCTCTTCTTCCTCCTCATCCTCCTCCTCTTCAGCTTTGAGTGTTGGCCAGTTAGTCAGCAGTAAGTATTGCTCCCTGGCTCTCCTTAATTCTCCCTTCTGTTTGTTCTCCTTGCTGCTGAGTTTTCCAATCTGCTTTCCCTCCTTTTGTTTTTTAAAATATAATAGATGGTATATTGCTAAAGATGTGAGTCTCACCAGTGAGAATTACTAAGTGCTATCATGGATGGGGCTTAAAGTAAATATGCCTTAAGAAATTTAATCAAGGCTGAAAATGGTCATGAATATGATCATAAAAATTGTAGCAGCCATTAATTGACTCATGGGGGCAATTTTTATAACTGAGATGTAGTTTATGTTCTTTGGAAGTTAGAACTTTTTGAACCAGTCAATATAATGAATTACATTTCTCAGAATTTGATGAGCAAACAGGTATTCCTACTTTTCGTTAAGCTGCTTGTTTGTTTGCTTGCTTGATATAGCAAACCATTTTACAAACCCTAATACTACAGAAATCCAGACTGAGAGATTTTTCTTGCCAGAAAAAGCTTACAACATTTAAACAAGAATGAACTGGAACATGTTGGGGAGAAGCATGCTGCAGTGAAATAACTGGGCTCCAGTTATTATTATATTATTATTATAATTAGTATATTATTATTATAATCCAGTTAGGATTATAACAGCTCACCTGAACAGCACTTTCTTCCAGATTGCACAGTTCAGAGTCTTTGCTATTACCTCATCAACATTAACTTGGACTTTGCATAGCAAAAACCAAGGGTGACAGTATACATAAGAAACACTAACAAGTTTTTGCACATCTGCAAAAATCCAAATGATTGGGAAGATCTTGTTCCATGATACTCCATGTACATATTCTAAGTAAACAAACACTGTAGCTTATGCCATATTGGTAACGTAAAATGTGTGACTGATACAAGTTTCTGAAGGGCTTGGAAAAACTGTCATGCAAGGAAAGATGTGAAAAAATCTTGGTTAGATTATCTCAGAGATCGTTTACATGGGGAAATTAATAGTAGAGCCATTGTGGTAAAATTATGCTGATATAACTCCCAGTGAGAATACTTTTGTTCCGGAATGAAAATATCTGCATATAGATACAGATATAATTACAGTGATATAAATACGCTGCTATTGCTCTGCCAGTAGTAAATTTTCTCATGTAGACATGCTTGTAGGAGGAAGACAAAGAAGAGGTTTTCCATTGCAAATATATAAAATTAACCTCTAGTCCATGTGAGCAAATTGAGTAAAATAGCTGGTGCAGAGTAAGTTATTTTTCAATAGCTAGTCTAGAATAGCTCCTCTTTTGGACATTCTTATTTAAAATAAATGCAACATGGAAGAAGCCCTTTTAAGTTTACAGGATAAATCCATCAAAAGTTAGGAGATGCTTGAAAAATAACTGTTTGTTCAACTGTATGCTATTCCTCTTAGAACATGTATTTCATTATAACAATATATTGTTGTGATTAAAATCATGCAATGGTGATTTTTTTTTTCTCATCCTTCTTTCAGTGCATTCCCAGTGAAATTATCCTAGGGATGTATCAGAATTACTAACACAACAGGTGGGCTGTTGTCCCAGGGTTTACCTGATTCACTAATCTGCTCCCCAGTTTGCATAACACTTGAGGTAGGAAGCTGTAGAGGAGTGAAGGATGGTCTTGCCTGAGGCAATAGAGGACTAAGGAGCTGAAGCCTCCTGTCTGCTACGTAATTTCAGTGCAAGGCAGGCAAATCACTTAAAAGGGATTTTTCACAAGTGCTCCCTCAATATCCAGCTGAAGACTCTGGACTTTAATTTACAGAAGAACACGGTACTCACAGTTGTAATTTTAAGTGCACTTTCATTGTGGAACTGTATCAAGAACCATTTAAAGACAGTCTAAAAAATCATTTCCTACTTGACCTAGACTGGGTACCCAAAAATGCTTCTTCCTTAATATCTGTCCACTTCTCTGTGAATGGGAAGGGGAAGACCCTCATCTTATAGAAACACAAGAAAATAAATTAAGATTTTAAAGAAACCAGAAGAGCTCAAGTGGAGATGTCCTAAGTGAGGAGCTTTAATAGAGGTCTGGGGCCACACATTGAACAAGTAAAAAGGCAACACATCAATCATTTCATCTGTAATGAAGGACAGCTCATCCTGTGCACTGAATGAGGCACATGAAAAAGAACTGATAATCCAGGGCTCAAAGACTATGGTACACTGTGTTGTGGGCTGCTGTAACTCCACCATTTTGTAGCTTCTGAATGTTAATTTGTACAGCTCTAAGGATGTTCCTTTAGCTTCATTTTTTGCATGGATAAATTTCAAGGTTGTTTCAAAAGCAGAATAATAACATAAAACAGTCATATGGTGAGATAATCTTTATGTTCATAGTTGGAAATAGGAGATGTGCTGAATGGTTGGAAAAGCTGATAATTCTGTTATCATCCTGTTGGTTCTGCTCTAAAATAAGCATGCTGTGCTTATGGATTTGGCTGAGAGTGGAGGAGTATGAGGCACAGGAGTATCAATTTGGGCACAACTGGGAGATACATTAATGATCATAGAACTTTTACTTGATCCTCTCAGGCTTGACTCCATCCACTACTTGTTTTGATGGACCCATTAATTCTTCACACTGTTCTCCACACAATCCACTCTCCCTTTGCCTCCATGCTTTTGTTCCTCTAGTTTTCTCCCTGCAGTCCCTTCCTTACAGTCCATCCTTACCCAACTTCTCTTCCCATTTCAGTTCCCACTCAGTCACTGTCTCCAGCCCATATCTGTATCCTTTTACCAGTCTTTTTGTTAGGTCGTTTCTGTCCTCCTTTATATTGTTTCAGCACCAGTGCCACCTCTTTTTCATTTTTTTCTTTCCTCTAACACAGTGAACAGTACTACTTTGCACAGTCAGGCCCACTCTCCCTCCACTCCAAACTCTAATCCCTTCTCTTTAAAAATAATCTTCAAGTTTGTTTTTTTTTCTTCTATCATATATTTTTCATTTAGACTCAAGGTAAATTTTTCCCCCTCTGAATCCAAATCCTGTTAATGTCACTCTCATGCTCCCCAGCAGCCATCAGAGGAGTGTGAAAAGTGATCACAAAGAAGAGCATCAAGCCAGTCTCCCTGTCTTTACTGCAGTCCTATCAAAAAGAGCTACAGGCATAGGAAACTTTTCATACAATCAAACTGATGAAGGAGTTGCACTTGGAAGTTACCTGACTGGAATTCAGACCTTAAGAGCATTCCAAAAGAAAATGTTATTGATGGAGATCTCCTGAAAAAAATTCCAAGCTAAACATAAACAAAAAACTTGTGGAGCTGTTTTGAGTTTATGCTTCCAAGTTCATCCAGTCTCTGCTATTCAAGACTAACAGGATGAGGGGGAGATCAACTCACTTCTGCCTTTTACATGGTAACCTTACACAAATAAAGCAAACCAGTCATCTCAAATATCCTGAAAGGCTGTCCAGCATACTCCTGAGTGCATGTAGCCATAAAAACTGGAGCTAGCACTGCCTGCCTAAGCCTGCTTGATCTGCCACATCAGGGACAGCGTTGCAGGGCACAGGAGAGTTACCTACTGTCTTCTAGTAATGTGGAAAGAGCCTGCAAGAAAGAGGAAAGTATGATCAGTTCAATAAGGAAAGATTAAATCACCTGTGTCATGAAACATGAAAAATCAGACGGGATTCTTTATAGCTTTTCCTTCACAGTGATAAACCGGTGATACTGTTTGGAAAAATAGTATTAAAGGACCTTCATGAGTTTGAAAATTGTTTCATGTGACTGAAAAGCCATTTGCACAAAACTGTGGCTGCAGATGAGGATGTAGACAGAAAGTGATGCTTGTTTGCCTTATTCACAGAATCTGTTCAGTTTCTAGATAGAGATCCCTGAAGGGCAGGAGCACCTCTTTGTCAAGCCTGTGGCCTTCTTAGCATCCCGGCCCCACACTGGCTGCAGAGCTTTGTATGAAAGGCCAAAAATTGAAATCCAGTGTCTGAAAGTCCATTTAAAGTCTTTTAGTGGGATGAGACAGGCAATGGGTCAGTGTTCCTGAGAGAAGATCTTAGGCATAAAGGCAGCATGAAACAACTTGTGGCCTCCTGATTTTATTTCTTTATTCTTCCTGAGGAAGGAATAATGTTTCCTTTTCTTGATTCCTTATGAAACTGGTGTCCAGACCTCTGCCAGAGGTCCTGGAGCTGAGTCCCTTGGCAGAGATTTGCTGTATCCAGAAATAGTTGCTGAATACAGCAAAGTTCATGTAAAAATGGTCACATTTAGCCACTTGTTCAGTTAATCAAATTGCATAGAGCATCCTAATTTCACCAAATAATTACTTGGGGGAAGCTTCTGTACACTGACTGCAAAGAGAGTAACTCTTTTACAAGATGTTGCTTCACATCAGAGAAATTATTGAAGTACAATGAGAAAGTCATAAGAACTCTATTACTTTTACTTTTCCTTCTAGTAATATTTTCTGTATGACTTTGCTTTTTTTTTTCTTTAACATGTTTCTTAATTTCAAAGAAGTTTCCTTACTTTTTATTTTTAATTTTTCTTTCCTTTTTTATTTCCTGTCCATTTTTCCCTTTATGTTGTTGTCTTCTTTGTAGCTTTTCCTTTTTCTCTCATCATCACCCCTTCATCCCTAACGAGCAACAAGTGCTAATTATTTTGGAGACAAAACATAACAGTTATTTCCAAATAAAAAATATTTTAAAGTGAGTTCTGTCTATGCAATGATTGAAAGATTAATCTCTACTCTTCCTGTCCCTTCTCTTTGTATTGTCTGATACACTTTGTATTCTCTTTTGTCTTCTTTGTTTTCCTCTTCATTCAACTCTACATCTTTATTCCTTCCTTTTTTCCATTTCACTTTCCTCTTCTGAAATGCATCACTCTGCTCATTTCTTTAACTTTTCCACCATATGTTCTCTTTGTGGAAATCACTAGTTTCCCCTTGTGCTCTGAGACTTGTGTCTCCATGAAGTTCCTTTCTTTCTCCCAAATTCATTTTACTGTCATCTGTTACTATGAAATTAAAATGCCTCCCATAAACAAATTATTCTTCTTTTTTTTTCCCCTGAGCTCCACTCCATTTTCCATTATCAATGTTTTGTCCTGCCTTTCTTATCCAATTTACTTTCCATTGGACCTTCTCAGCCAGCTATTTCTCCTCCTGTCTGACTGGGGAAATCATCCCCCTGTAATCCCTCCCGTGGCAGAACTCTGTGCAACAGAAATTTCGTTCCTCCTTCAGGGTGCACTGATTTCTCTGTAGCAGCTCTTTCCCCTAACTATTAAAATCACAGCATATTTTCACTCAACAACAAACTCACACAGGATTTTGAGAATTCAAAAGTGGGAGAAGTATTCCCTTCAGTAGGAAAAAACAGATTTCAATGCAGGAGAGTCTGTGGATTTAATTTATTCCGCACTGCTCGTCTATCTTCACCATCCACCAGGACAACTGGTGGAATTTTAACTGTCTTACTTTTTGTTGAAAAGGGAGGTTTGTCTGTTTTGTTTCTTCCCATACCCTCTGAAATGGTCCTAGACAGCCCTCTGACCTTTCTCCAGCACCCAGCAGTTTCGTAGGCAGCCAGTTTTCTCATGCAATAATGTAAACTTGGAGTCTTGAAATCCATTACTGTGGATCCCAAACACCCAATGGGTTTGGTGTTCTCTATTTTCCTGTTGGCATTGGGCAGCCTTCCCGGGGATATCCACTTAATTGAAAAAGAACCAGCTTATTTACTGTCTTAATTAAGCTACTCTTCCTAAAATGTGAAGTACACTATATGTTCAACTGTTCTGAAAGCTCAGAACTTGTTAAACAAAGTCCATAATCTCTTTGAATATGTTTATATATTTAGATATATGTGCATATATGTGTGTCTATCTATGTGCATATTTAGACCACACAGTCTAAGATTGTACTGATGGCATTTTAATGCAATAGAGTAAAACAGACAAATGATGATGTCAATAGAGTGGTCTTCATAGCACTATGTGTGTTTTGGAGAGGTGACAGAGGACAAGATCTGTGGATTTCAAAGGGCTTTGAACCACACCCAAAGTAGTTGTTCCAATTTCGCACAACTGCTATTTTCCCTAGTGTTCAAGGTAAAACATTTCAGTGTTTCAGTCCATCTGTTGCCACTTATCCTGTTGCCAAAGATGCTATGAAAGAATGAAGCCTTTTTCTCGACAGATATTCCACTGTATGCTACATTCTACTCCCATATTACTGAAGGGCACCACAGTTGTTTTCTCATCTCAAGGAGAGCTCAGCCTAATATTTCCCTCATCCAAGTGCCGCAGGCAGGAACAGTCGTTCCATGATGCTCACTGTTGCAACAGTGCCAGATCATTCTAGATCCAGCAGAACTTGGCAGAATTTCACAATAATTTCTCTACAATTAGTTTTCTCACTTCACTTTTTATTCCTAACAGGAATTGGGGAGGATTGCAGGTGGCAGGTGTCGTAGTTTGCTACTTTGGAAGTTCTCTGGGAACACCTGAATTGTCCTTTGTTACATTCCTAACAGCCTTAGTCAGAGGCCTTAAAGCAACAGAAGGAAAGAGGTGAGGAAAGTCACCATTTTGGTGTACTTTACTCAGGGGAGTTTTTGAGGCCAGTATCATTTATGATATTTAGTACAGAGACTACAGGGCAGATAAGTCTGCAGCTCCATTCTGCATCTCTGAAATTCAGAACTGGCATGCTAGATAGGCTATATGGTATAAGCAGGAAAATTTCATGCTTCTAAAGGCAATTACTTTATAAACCTCTGTGGCCACTGTCATAGCACTTACTCCTAAAGCAAACAATATGCACCCTAGCTTTGTACTGAATGAGTGCATGGGTGTGCAGGTGACCACAAGGACAACAGTGAGAACAGCAGAGATGGTTCTGAGTGTGGAGTATCATTGAAACAAGGTTCAGCCTATGTGCATGTTTATCTGTATGCATAGTTCAACCAGGGATCCCTGGTTGCATACACAAGAATTTTTAAAATATCGTTGCCATTTGTGCTTCTTACACTCAAGAGTAAATTTATATATCAGAAAACCTTTTCCTTCTGTCTACTATTGGACAAAAATAATTTTTCATAGGATGTTTCCATCACAAGGAAATTTTGCACCAGGCTTATAAACCCCTGAAAATAAAAGCATTTCAACTATAATGCTGACAAGCCCTCACTAGAGCCATACTAGCAGGAGCCATTCTCATGCAGGGTTCAGAATGGTAATGTAGTCCAGCACTGTCCTTGGACAACTGCTTGCATTTACAGAAATTGAGGGGGTTATTGTGCTGCAAACTTTTCACCTCGGAGTCTGAGCAATAAGGTGAAGAACAATAGAGATGTCTCACTGGGAGAATGGCTTCACTACATGCAGGATTGCACAACACTTTGAAATCTTCTGCCATCCCAGTCCCATGCTGTCTCTGACTTGGCAAACACTTTCATTTAGTCAGGGATCAGTAGCTTGGGAGGGGGGGGAAGTTCCATTCTCCAGCTGTTGTGTCATTTCCCTTGATAAGTCCTAAATTGACCGAGTTATCCAGCTCCAAAGGAGCTTTTCTGTGGTAGACATGCTTTATTATGTGCCCTTTCAGGGACAAAGGCTTCTGTGTCAGTAAACTGCTATAGAGAGGAAGGACAGATTTATTCTCACAGCATCATAAGCATTATCTTCTGAGGGGCTAATGTAAAAGTACAAAAAAACTGTGCAGCATTACTATCCAAAACCAGTGTTGCTGCTCCTTGATTATCGACCTGATGGGAGGCAAAATAAAAAACTTGAAAGGCTGCTTCTCAGAAGGGCGTATTTTAAAAGACAAATTTTAAATTAAGGGGGTTTCAAAGGCGGAATTTTTTAGGCTTGTTTATTTGCTGGGTTATTTTTGACATTCATGCGGCAGTTTAGGTTGGGTATTGTGTAAAAGGGAAGAAATAGTTGTGAATCTCCTTATTTTGCATTAACTTTAGATAGAGCATAAAGACTTGGTTTCAAGTTAAAAATCCAAGCAGCTCATACAAATATATATATATAGCCCTCCCCACAGACTGGAAATAAATATATTAACACCAACCATTGAGCTATGTGATAAAAAGGGAACACGATTCCTCAATCCAGAGAAGACTTTGCAAGGCATAAATGGCATCGAGGAGCCCAGGCACACCCTCCCTCTGAGGTGAGCTGGCCTTTGTCAGAAGTTCAGCAAAGGCATATCTTTGAAAATCTTCCACCGGCAGACAACTGCAGCCCAGTCAGCATCTTAGCAATCTGAGCACACCTGACAAGGCAAGTCTGTTTCTGTTTGGGGAAGAAGAGAAAGGGGTCAGTATTTAAAAAGTTGAACTTGAAAGTCTTGACAATGAAAATGGCTGTAAGCCTATCCCACTGATATGTGATGCAAAGAACTGACATGACTAAAAAATATCTCAACAGATCCTCAGACAGCCACTGGAGAGGTGGATGGGGTAAATCTGGAAGAAATACGAGAATTTGCCAAAGCTTTTAAAATCCGGCGCCTGTCCCTTGGCCTGACACAGACTCAAGTTGGCCAAGCCCTAAGCGCCACCGAAGGCCCAGCCTATAGCCAGTCTGCCATCTGCAGGTAACAAGTTACATCATAAACTCCTCATCTCTCTTTGTCCTTAATAATGATCCACCTTATTGTAAGGAGCATGCTTGTGTTTGAGTCTCATAACTTTAGAGTGTTTTTTTTAACCTGATATTTAAATTAGCAGATAATGTTGTTATCTGACATACAAATTGTTCTTATTGTGTATCTTTAGAGTAATTTTGGTCTCTTTTTTTTCCCCTCCTTTTCTAAACAAATGAGAAACAATGCTCCTGGCATAGTGCCTTAATTCTGTAGATGAGTTGGAGTTCCTGCTGATGCTGGATAAGCACCAGCTGACCCTCTTCATACTGTGCCATTTTCTACAGATAGGGTTACTGAACAAATATTTCATGGCTGCATCCCTGCTAAGTTAAAACCTGTATTACTGTGGTTAGCACTTCACATACAGGATGTTAATGATGATTTACCTAGGCAACACAGAAGGGAAAAAAATAGCCTTCCTGCTATCTTGCAAACCAGCAGCTATTCATCTTTTATCACCCAAATATTTACCGAAAAAAACCCCAGACAAACCCATGTATGCAAAGCAGAAGCAGAAATCTGTCCTGATCATAAGAAATAATAATGCAGTCTTGACAGAGTTAAAGTAGAAGCAAACACCTTATATGCATGTATGTGTGTTACAGTAATCCCATGTTTATGCATGAGGTAACAAACACACTTAGGTAACAGCTTTTTCCTCTTGGGCAATGCCTTATAGTCCTTCTCCATCAGTGAAAGCCAAGAAACCAACTCTAAGCTCATTTAAGTGGATTTTGTTCTTGGTGATCCATGAAATGCTCTGTCTTTTTATCTGCTCTTTATACTTTTAATGTATTCCCCATAGAATGGAAGTGTACTTTTCCTGCAGTTAAAGACTAAGGTTATAAATAACATCAGTATGGGGTAGTGTGCTTGCAGCTCACATTTTGCTCAATGATTTTCCATAAAACCCATTGATTGTTGTTAAATACAAAAAGCTCCATAGGATCCTCTCACTTCTATGGTCTCCCCTACTGTTTTTTCTTATAAGATACCTCCCTGTAGAAAATAACCTTTATTCAGTCTATACAAGGATACTACTGCTGGGAAATTTGTTTCAAGACTTGTATGTCGTTATACCAAACATGTCCTGCAGTAACAACACTCACAAACAATGCCAATGATATGAAAGCTATCACTCCCTATTGCTAAGGATTAATTTGTTGGGGTTTTTCTTTATTTCTTTGTGGTCAGTTGGTGAAGAATGCTTAAAATGGGTGGAGTTTTTAGCAACTGACAATTTTTTTGTAGCCTTAAGCCGCTGTTTGTCGTGCTATACTTTAAAGTGACACGTTGTAGTTTCCTTTACTTTTGCCTAGTTTGCTGTCTTCTCATTTCCTCCATCTACCTCACACTTTGAGAAAGCACTGGGGATGGTGAGACCTTTTACAGAGGGCTCCTTGAAGGAACAAGTTGCTCAGAACGTGAGATTGAGTGCAAGAGCTTGTCCCAAATACTTGCGAGATTACAGTTTTCTTAATTTCCTTTGCCAGCCTCAGATGGACACCATTTCAGGGTGTAATTACATGCTATGACATTGCATTTTTTGTTAAGCTGCTTCAGTGGCAGCATGTGTTCCTCAGAAATAGTAGATTTAACTTTTTTTTCACTTGTAACAAAGGAGGTTCAGTATGTATGAACTCCAGGTCAATGGAAGGAACAATAAGGCAAGCAGATTGAACAACCAACTCAAATAGAAAAGTAGAATCTCCTGGTGGCCTATGCAGGTTATATGAGCAATATACCCCCTTGAAATGTTCTGAATGCAAATAGCAGCATTTTCTTTGATTTGAGGCAATACAATCTAAAGTATATCCTTCAGCCTTAAATATCACTGGACACCAAGGAATGACACCTTGCAGTCAATACCTCATAAAGATGTCAGGCACCAGTTTCAAATCCTTTGGAGTGCTGTTATCTGAAATTATTCTTTGTCTCATTCTTTGTTTGTAAGGAGTGCTTTGTTTCTTGCTGGGATATTTTTTGCTGCCTCCACATGCTGAATGGAGACACTAAAAATGGCCAGCTCCAGCCACCAAGTTTCTTTGCATAAAAGTTCCTCTCATCTCCAGAGCACTCTGTGATTAGTGGTGAGGGTGATGCTTCAGCACCACCTGGGCTGGAGAGCACAGCAGTGACATCCAGTAATTGTTGCCTTTCTGCAGCATTAAATACCACAACGTGCAGAGTGGACAGAGCAAAGTGGAAAAACACAAATGGATGGCACCAAAGGACTTGGGTTAAGACTTTTTTAATGTGTAGCAAAAGGCAATAAACTCAGTAAATGAAAAAAACAAATACTTATAAGAACTGAAACGTGAACTCTGCTTTTCTGCTTGTTTTTGAAAGGATTAAAGCTTTGTGTGACTGCTTTTCCAGATGTTTTATAATGCTTGTAAAATCTGGTTTGGCAAAAGACTTTTGATGGCAAAATGATATATAGAAGACCTCATTTACAGGAAATGATATCATTCTGGTACAGTTTGCAGCAATCCCACAATAAGCTCAGCTTGGTGCCACAGCATATTAGTAGACTGTTATGCTGGGTTTCATCTGGAAAACATGAGGTCTGTCTTTGCACATTGTGGGGACAGCAAGATAATTGCAAAGTGTCCAGCTGTTTCAGCTGAACACCACCGTGGCTATGGGAATTTTTTTTCCAACCCAGAAAAGGGATATAGCATTAACTTACAAACAGTGAAAATTGCTGAAAAATGGAAATGAAACCTGATATTCAGAGGCTAGTATTTGCCATTGGTTTTTGTTATTAAAGCTGTGATGTTTGGATAACATGGGATGGGAGGGATAACAAAAGGATTAAGCACAAAAACAAGATGATAAAAGCAATGCCTTTGATATCATTTCCTGTAATTAGACTTAGTCTCAAGGGTTTTGAAGATCATCAGAAATACGAAAATGTGATTCTTAACCTGTATTATTTAGTGTACTTAGAATTTTGTTGTAGTGCTCATTTTGTGTTAGCTTAAATCTCTAGCTATATATATATATATATATATATCTATGTATAGATATACCTGACAGTTTTCATAATCTACTGTAAATTACCTCTGCCAGTCAATTAGTCAGTCAGGCAGGAAGTCCCACCCTGGCAGAGCATCAGTGTAAGACTCTTCTTTCTCAATTTTCCCTCAGACACACCATCCTGAGAAGCCACTTTTTCCTACCACAGGAAGCCCAAGAGAACACTATAGCTAGCAGTCTGACAGCCAAACTGAACCCTGGCCTTTTGTATCCTGCCAGGTTTGAAAAGCTGGACATCACCCCTAAAAGTGCCCAGAAGATAAAGCCGGTGCTTGAGCGGTGGATGGCTGAGGCTGAGGCCCGCCATCGAGCAGGGATGCAGAACCTTACCGAGTTTATTGGGAGCGAACCATCCAAAAAGCGCAAGAGGCGTACCTCATTCACGCCACAGGCCCTTGAAATCTTGAATGCCCACTTTGAGAAGAACACGCATCCCTCTGGGCAAGAAATGACAGAGATTGCAGAGAAACTGAACTATGACCGGGAAGTAGTTAGAGTTTGGTTCTGCAATAAGAGGCAAGCACTGAAGAACACAATTAAACGTTTGAAACAGCACGAGCCCGCCACGGCAGTTCCTATGGAGCCTTTAACAGACTCGCTGGAAGAAAACTCCTAAAAGCAAAGCAAAACAAAGCCAAATCACACAGAACAAAAACTCACACCAACTGAAATGTGTCCATTTGAACTCTGTGAAAATACCTATTCATCACCCTTGTAAGTAAAAGACTGAGAAAACTACAAGAAGGACAGAACAGTTTATAAATGTCCGTGGGTTTTCCTATTTAAGAAAAATAACAACAAAACAAAACAAAAAAAAAATACACAACACTTGGAGTGTGTGTGGTAGAATTAGTTCCCAAAAAAACCGAAAAAGCCAGTTTTTTTAAATGGACTTAAAGTAAACCAAATAACTGCTTAATTTTTCTGTATATTATGAAAATATGAACACATTTTAAGGAAAAACAAAACAAACAACAAAAAAAAAAGAAAAAAAAAAGAAAAAAACTTTTATCTGTTTAAAAGAGAATACAAGCCTGCCACCTGGAGGAGTGATCGTAGCCTTTCAGGTATCAAGTGCTGATTCACTATGAAAACTATTAACCAAAGTCAGAAACATGGCATTGCAAACTAGATTGTTAGTCTACTCTTTTACGAGTGTAAAATTGTGTTACGAATTTTTACATTTGTATTTTGCAAAGAGGAATACAGGATTAATTTCTCTCATCCTTGTTTGTACCTCCTGCAGGTGTGTACAAAGCCATTCCATAGAAGTCACCTCATTTTCTTTTCTTTTAGTCAACAGTTTTACAATCTCCTAATGTTTGGGTGCCAAAAATAATTACTTTTTATCGTGATATGTGGGGTTTGGTATTTCTCTTCTAAGGGTATATGTCTTGGTTTGCATTTCTTTTTCTGTTTTTTTTTCCTGATTCTATTTGCTGCCTCTTCCCTTCCAGCTCATTCTCCACCCCTTCCCCAAGCCCCCCAGACCCAGAACTATTTGAAGAATTTAAAAAAAAAAGTGATATCTGAACACTTTTATAAGCTGAAATGCAATGAGGACAAAGAAGGATTAGGATTATGTCTGATGGACTGTCAAGCCCACACTGAACATTGTGCTTTTTGTCGAATGTGTAGCTTGAGATTTCTCTGTCCTTTGGCCATGAACCTGGAGAGGTTACCAAAACTCATTTTGTAGTATAAATATAAACTGCACACTTGGTACAGTACTGCATCTATATTATGGTTCCATTTGAAGCAATTTCTCTCCAAAGCCTGCTAGACAAAGAAATTTCTTGAGTTTCTGACGAGAACAAATGGACAGGCTGAGAAGTGATGAGGATGTTTTGGTCACTATTACACTATTACATCACTATGGACAATTTTGACAGTAGTGCTTTACTCCTTCTGGCGCTTTTTTAATGTCATATTGTTGCTTGCCCTGTTGACTTCTTTAGTAGGAGAATGTGCTTCTGCAGGTGTTTGCTGTGGCCAGTGGCTAGACTAAGCAATTGGGACCTAGGGAAAACCACTGAATGTCCCTTGATAATATAAGGTGGGTCACCTGCAATACGATTCAGGTGAACTGATTTTTCTTTAAAGACAGTTTATCTCTGTGGCTTCATTTCTGATTGGAAAAGCATCTGCTAAAATACTGTGGTCATTGGACCTACAAGCATGCCAAGGCTAAGAGACAGAGAAAGGTGTTGCAGGTTCTTGATGGGGTTTGGTCTGACCTGTGAAGGTCATCTGCAATCTTCATCTTCTGCCCAGTTATGCTCAAGCCTTTGGGATTCAGCCCACCATTGGGGTAGAAGCTGCATATTGATCAGGTCTTCCCAAAAGATAACGTCAAATAATTGGTTCAGCTCACTGCAGAGATGGCAAAATTCTGCTGGTATAACCCCTGATTGCATTCCTTGACCTCAGAATGGTTGTGCTGGATTTTTGGTGGTCTGCCTAGGATGTGGAAGGAAGTTCCTGAAGTGCTGGAGTCTTCAAATAACACCTCTCTTACTAAAGAGTTTTCAAAAACTCCAGACTATATCCAAAACTTAGTGAAAGAAATAGGCTTTCACTGATTTCATTAGGCTTTGAATCTGGCCCTCAGTATTTTATTAATGGGATTTGCCTTGTAAAGTGGGGTATTTATTGCATGGTTGGTGGAGCTTTAAGATTTCAGAGACCATCATCTGGACCAGAAGCTGCTTCTAAATGTGAGCACTCTCAAAGGTCAGTGTTGGAGCACACTGAGGATGCAGCACTCCAGGATGGGCTCATGTCCAGCAAATGCATTTTAGACTTTAAGCTTCAGCAGGGTATTTTTAAGGATATTTTCAGTCTTGCTTTTATGAGGAGGAGAGTGACAATTGTTATTGACTCTTTTTCAACTGTTTATATAAAAATAACTGCTGGGGGAAAAAGCACCTCATTAACCACAGGCAAATTGTGAGGGACAAAATAGATGCTTTATCCGAGGTGAGCATGTAAATTAGAGAGTGTCACAGCAACATCTGCCCCTCCAGGTTTTCTTTTTACCCTCTCTATACCTATATCCTCAGAAATATCTATGTTGTCTGTACCAAGCAGGCCTAAAGTTGTCACCACAGTTCAATCTACCTAACAATCAGATCGCCATACAGAAGCCAACAGGAAAGCAAGGATGAATAAATTATATTTGGAAGTAGTCACTCCTGAAATCCTACCCATGTCTCCAGAACACTCCTAATTGCCCAGTCATTAATGCCACATACACAATTACATGTTCAGTCATCCTTAAGGCCATACCCTCCCCCACTCCATCACCACCATCAACAGCCTGGGAACAAAACCATCAACCATTCTTTGCTTCAGAACTGAATTTCCAATTCTCCCAGGGACTGCTCTAAATTCTGTGAAGAAAAATCCCCCAAGAAAAATAGTTAACTAAACACTGTATGAAAGATGCTAAATGTTTAAAAATATGCTGGCAGCAGTTACATAAGCTCTTTTCTGTTCCAAAGTACATATCGGAAGGATATAACTAGGACAGTGAAAATGTAAAATAAATATAAATTGCCAGCATGGAAGAAAAAATAATGTTCATCCCGCAGTCTTAAAATCATTCATGTGCAGTGATTTTTTTTACAGTTTTCTAATTTTGTATTATGTTTTGTAAATTATTTATAAAGTGTTGTAATGCTTCTCATATTAATTTTTTTATAAACAAATTTTTGCTACGAGGCATAAACGGTGCCTGAACAGATTCTTAGGAAGATAAATTATATGTAAGTCATTCATCTTTGGGAGGGCCATAAATATTTTGTTTTGTTTTGTTACTGGCAACAACTGGTTTCCATTTGTAAACAATTTCATTGTATTGATAGCATTTGAGTACCTTTTAATTTTGCATGTGACTAAAAGATAGATTGCTACCAGCAAATGAAAAAAAGTCTCTTTGGTCATATGTGAAGGTTTAATGGTTTTCCACTTTGTTGATAATTGGTTTTTTTAAAATATATATATATATAAAATATTATTATTTGAATAATGAACCAAGGATTCACTTACTCTTCTAATTTTGTGTTTTTATGTTTTTCACTAAAAAGCTATTTTGGACAGTTGAAGAAATCAAATGCATTCAAATGGTTCCAATTTCTTTACATTATTACTGAAAAAAAAAGAAAAAAAAAGCCAAAAAAAAAAAAAAAAGGAGAAAAAAAAGAAAAAAGGGAGAGAACAAGGAAGCAAAAAGGAGCTAGGAAGGAACAAGTAGAGGCGTATCAAAGAACTCAAGCTATAACCAAAAAGAAATATGTAAAATGCCTTTGCTCGTCTTCTCAATGCTGGACCAAAGCTCAATGTATGTAGGTATATGCACATTGTATAGATATGGCTAAATGTTGCTGACAATCTCGCAATACTAAACTGTTACTATTTAAAAGAAATACAAAAATAAAACTGTTCATCAGTGTTTTACCTCAGCACTCTACTTGTACCCAGTTATTGACCAACATTCAAATAAGAAGATAAGAGAGGAAATTGATTTCCATGTCAATGTTTGACTGTAAAATCTGTTTGGAAAACATTTTGTAATGAGCTTTTTGTCATGTGATTTGCTTGTTTCCAACTTGAGACTATGTGGGGCACATTTGTTTATTTATTGTTAAAAAGTGATATTATTACTATTATTATTATTAATTATTATTATTCCTATTATTATTAATTTTTGTCCTATGTGCTATAATCTACAGAATGGTCACCAGGGTCACTTATGAAGCACTGCAAAGAGATCTGTTTTTCCATGCATGGAGCATGCAGGGGGAAAGATGGCAGTACAACATGGACTGTATTGTGTTGTTAAAAAATATTAATAAATAAAAAAGGAGTGGATATGGTGGACTTGTGACCAAGAAAACAAACTGGATATTTAAAAGCTCCTTACTACTCTGACTTTGAAACCAAAGCTGATTTATCTGCACAGGTTGCTTAACATGAAAAAAAATAAAAAATAAAAAAAACTGACAAAAACTGTACTTAATCTAGAGCAATATCTGTATGGTCAGTAAAGCTGCACTTTGTGTATTTCTTAACAGCTTCAGATCTGTCACTTTTAATTTGTACCATAAAAAATAAAAAATTGTTTGACATGAAAAATAAGCTCCTTTCATGCGTTTGTCTTAAATCTCATGCATTATTCACATTATCCAAGCTCATGTAATTTCACATCAGTTCAATACAAAAATAGTTAAATGCTTGGAAAAAAAAAAAAAAAGAGAAGAGAGAAAATCCATTTGCACCGTGGAGCATAACTTTATCCACAAAACTAAGCGCTGTTTCTGTACCCGGAGTGGGTGCGTGCATTGGCGCTGTCTTGTTTTCCCTACAGGTATTGCAGAGCAGAGGATCTCCTTCAGGAATGCTCTGGAACCGCCCAGGTGAGTCCGTGTTGTCCCCCAGGCCAAAGGAGGCAAAGTGCAGATGGATGTGAAGGCCAGTGTGTGTCCCCTGCTCCCGTCCGCAGCCCCATAACAAAGCCCTGGTAAGTGACAGGAGTGTGTCAGAGGGGCCGGGCCAGCACTTCAGTGATTTCTCTTGCAGAACTCATGGGGCTCGTTATTCACTTCTTTCTGTAATTTATGGTATCAAGTCACAGAAATGCCCGTTCTTTAAGCCCCTTCTCTTGAGTCATATTGAGTTCTGTCAAAATACAGGATTCTCAAATATCAGCATATTTGAGAAATTAATTAGTTGTATTATAAAGGGTTTTTGGAAAAAAAACAGCCTTGAATAAAAGCTCTGACAATCTTAGAGTATTGTGTTTGAGTCTTGAGAACGAAATTTTTACAAAGATGTTTTTCTTTGATTTTGTTTAATATTGTTTTACTTTTCCAATATCACGTGTTATATAAGCAAAACTAAAACAAAGTATTTATTTGCATAGAAAAACAGAGAGCATTTGAAGTATTTATTTATTGTTAATTTTTTCCAGATCA